TAGAGCACACAAATCTGAGAGGTGCAGTTTAAATGACATCCAGTAGTTAAATCATACTTAATATCTCATCCATGTGGGAACATGTTTTCATTCAGGTGAAACCATGGACTTGAAGTGCTGCGGTACAGAAGTCTCTTTGTGGCACTGACAACGTTAGCCTGTACCAGAAATGCTGTTGCTAATGTTGGCGCCGGTGTTCGCACTCTAAGTGTTTACATCCTATTTTTATTTTTCATCAGATACAAAAAACACACAGTGGGAGGACCCCCGTCTGCAGAGTCCCGCCATCACAGGACCTGTGAGTAGTGTTGCTACACAGTAGCCGCGGCCTCTTCCTTCAACACTGTAGTTCTACTGTCAACCACATGTCGTCAGCCTTAGTCTACTACACATGCTGACGTTCCACAGTGTTTCCATAACATGTATAACATTTGAAGTTATATGGATAAAAGCGTTGGCTAAATGTGATGTAATGAATACGATTTTATTTTTGTAATGAGGGGCGTTCAATTACCGTCGGAAATGTGAGAATCTGACGATTAAGGCACTTAAACAGAGCGTTTGGAGCATCTGTGTATTTTGGTCGTGAAGGAAAGAGATTTGTTTTATTTTATTTAAGGACCATTTTTATTTCATATATTAGAACGTTTTTTTTGTTCAACTTTAATTTTATACAGAGTGAACTCGAAAATGTGAACTCGAAAATCTAAAATGCTATGCTTTAGGGTAAGCTCCAATTATGTCACAAAAAAAAAATATTGATATATATAGAGTGGAGTAAGCTCCAATTATGTCACAAAAAAATATTGATATATATAGAGTGTCTCCATTCAGCTTAAAAAATACCGAGATATTACTTTTCGTCCACATCGTCCAGCCCTACTGTCACTGCAGAGTCACTTCTGAAGTGTATTCTCTGTCGCACTTGTTTATTCTCTCTGATGACTGCATACTGTACTCAATGCTGTTTATTTAAATATTTGTGTTAGTTCACATTCACTGTACTGGCAGCGCTAATGTGTGTTTTATCTGTCGCTGCAGGCTGTTCCATACTCCAGAGAGTTCAAACAGAAATACGACTACTTCAGGAAGAAATTGAAAAAACCTGTAAGTGTTGATTTTGATGTCTTTTTTTAGCTCTTCATTTCTGTGTTTTATTTCATGTTTTTTGCAGTAACAATAATAAATACCAATAAATGAATTGCCTACAATCGACGCTATTGTTAAAAAGTAAAACTTGACATTTGCAGTTTTGCGTCTTGAGCTTAAAGGAGGGAAATAAAGGAGTGAAATGCTTTGAGTCTCTTACGTTTTCCACATCATTAGTATTTTACAGCGTTTCTTGTCTTCTTTGTCTAAGGCTGACATTCCCAACCGGTTTGAAATGAAGCTGCACAGAAACAACATTTTTGAGGAGTCGTACCGTCGCATAATGTCTTTAAAGAGGCCAGATGTCCTGAAGGCACGGCTGTGGATCGAGTTTGAGTCAGAAAAGGGTCTGGACTATGGGGGCGTGGCCCGAGAGTGGTTCTTCCTTCTATCTAAGGAGATGTTCAACCCTTACTATGGCCTGTTCGAATATTCTGCCACGTAAGTCACAGCACCTAACTGTGAGGGGACAGAACTCAAAGCCTTCACCACATACTGTATGTGTAGGTGAGGTACAGGGGGGAGGGTTGCATTGTGTTTCCATGAGACGTAAAGTTTCCTTCCACTCTGATGAACCTTTCCTGCCATTCAACAAGCCATCCTGGAACAAATGCTTTCCCACGTACATGAAACGTCACCTTTTAGTTGTTGTTGTTGTTGAATCATATTTTCCAAACTCTTTATTTTAAATGTGTCATAGTTTTTAGTAGAGCTGTTGTTAGTGTAAACGAGCTAGTGTTAACCTACAAATTACATTGAATTGTCTCACTTTACTGGTTCCTTTTATTACCGTATTTTCTGGACTATAAGTCGCAGTTTTGTTTCCAGTCATTTGGCTGCGTTTGCGACTTATACTCAGGTGCGGCTTGTGTATTAAAATATATAATTTCACATGTTCGTTATTTTTGCACTGACAGCCGCTAGAGGGCACTGGTGCGACTTATACTCCGGAGCAACTAATAGTTCAGAAAATACGGTGACTCGTTCAGGGATGACACCTGGAGGAATATAGTACCTGTGTTCCTGCTGGTCCATGGTCTAGAACCTGTGATCACTGTCTGTGTTGGTCTTTTGTAGGGACAACTACACTCTCCAAATCAATCCCAACTCTGGCCTGTGCAACGAGGATCACCTCTCCTACTTCAAGTTCATTGGACGAGTGGCCGGGATGGCTGTGTATCATGGAAAACTGCTGGACGGTAAACGGCTCCTTTCTTTGTTTCCATTTTAGGCAAAGTATTAGACCACAAATGCATCTTTCACAGCTGTTTGTGAGACAATTTGTCTGCACATGTGACAACAACTTTTTCTTCTTTAGGATTTTTTATCCGACCGTTTTACAAGATGATGTTGGGGAAACAAATCTCTCTTAAAGATATGGAGTCAGTGGTAAGATTTTATTGCGGTTAGGTAATAACCCAAAGTCTCTGAGTCACTGGTTCATCTGCCAACAGACAAGTCACTGTACAGCTGTGCGATAAGTGTCTTCAAGGCAAAATGTCAAACTCCAATGTCACGACCACGTTATCTCTGTTTGTTCTGTAGGACAGTGAATATTACAACTCTCTGAAGTGGATTCTGGAGAATGACCCCACTGAGCTGGACCTGAGGTTTTGTATCGATGAGGACAACTTCGGTCAGGTGTGTAAAGCTTGAACCCAGTACTGCAGTAGTAATGAGCAGGCGTACTCTGCCCATTGGTTCTGATGTATCTGTTGCTCTTTCCCCCTCAGACTTATCAGGTCGACCTAAAGCCCAGTGGCTCTGACATGGTGGTGACCAACTGCAACAAACAGGAATACATTGAGTAGGAAACAATTAAAACGTATTAATTTATAAAAATTATTACATATATGTAAAAATTAAGGGATGATTTTTATTTTTTTTTCTTCCAACAGCCTGGTCATCCAATGGAGATTCGTCAATCGGGTCCAGAAGCAGATGAATGCTTTTCTGGAGGTATTTACATGCAATAATACTGTCACCACATGGGGGCAGCGTTACCACAGACTCCGTGTAGTTGAGGCCTTATTAGATTGAATTGAAGTAATTTATTGATTCCCCTCAAATGGGAACATTTACAAACTTTTTTTGTTTAACCTAGACCTCAGACAAACTTTTTTTGTTTAACCTAGACCTTTGTTACTGACATGTTTTTTTTCAATAATGTGCATAATATTTCGTTAAACTACTAATGATAATGATTTATTTTTCTTAAATCACATGGTTACAGTCACTTCTCATTCATTCATTGTTTCTTTTTTTTAATGTCCAGGGATTCACTGAACTCATCCAAATAGACCTGATCAAGATCTTTGATGAAAATGAACTGGAGGTGAGGATGCTTCTGTAGGACACCTGAACAAATGCTGACATTTCAACACTGAGCATCATGGTTCACTTGCTTTGGCAGGACCTGCGGCTCTTAATAAAATATTTGCTCTGTTGCCTAATCGTCTGCGATAGTAAACTTGTGTGTGTATGCGTTTGTGTTTATCTTAAGGTTGTGTAATACTAACGACAAAAGGGTCAACGTAAACGCAGAATTAAAGCGATCTGCCGTTTTCTAGATCACGCGAACATCTGAAGAAAAGAAAAATCGATAAGGAAATAATAGAAAATGTGTAATGTTTGGTTTTCCGTCCCTTCTGTGTCTGTGCAGCTTCTCATGTGCGGCCTGGGTGATGTCGACGTCAACGACTGGAGACAACACACTATTTACAAAAACGGCTACTGTCCAAACCATCCTGTGATACAGTGGTTCTGGAAGGTTAGTGTCAAACCCTGACCTTTGACCCCTGACTCCCTATAAAAACACAACATCACGTCTTGTTGCCTCATGGCAGCTCCAGCTGGCCTTGCTTTTGAAGATCAAAGTCTGTCGGAATGAACAGAATTGTTTGCTCTGATGAAAGAGCCTCAGATAGTTGGTCCAGCTCTGATTATCATCTGTGTGTGTGCAACTAACACACACACAGACACACACAGAGACAGACAAGTCGGAGTGTGTGTGTGAAGTTGGACCAAGAGTACGACCCCACTGTCCCCACCGTGTGTGAAGTTGGACCAAGAGTACGACATGTCCCCACTGTTGTACTGCTGTAGCTTCACCAAATGTTCTGGGTTTAGTGCAGTGCATTTAGAATACATGTAATGTGAAGTGCCTCTGGTTCTCAAGTACAACAAAGTCCACAGCAGTTGGCAGTGATGCATTTTGGGAACAGCTGTGGAATGTGTGAAAGATGTTCTTAAAATGTCTAGAATTCAATTTATTACCCCCCCAATAAACAGTGTTACTCTGGTATGTACAGCATGGGGATATATATGTTCATATATGTATGTAAATGTCTGGATATAAATATATATGTAACATAGTTTGCATATATTTGTATATATTTATATATATATTTACATGTATGTATGCATGTACATGTATATACATATATTGTCTGGATATAAATATACAGTATATGTAACATAGTTTGCATATATTTGTATATATATATTTATATGTATGTATGCATATATGTATATATATATATAAATATATTTATATATGTATATAGGTTCATTATGTGTTTACATAATACTAGGTACTATATAGCAGGGGGTGACCTACGTGACAACTAATGTTGTCGACTAATCACACATGCAGTGTTCATGAAAGTGCACAGAAAAAACCCTTCAAAGTTCATTTTTTTTCTGACAGGTCGTCCTGTTGATGGATGCTGAGAAGAGAATCCGACTTCTTCAGTTTGTTACAGGAACATCTCGGGTGCCAATGAATGGCTTCGCTGAGCTGTATGGTTAGTGAAGTAATGTTGGTCAATTGTGAAGACTTTTTTTTTTTCATTGTAATTAATTGTCTTTTTTTTTCTATTGACATTGAGGTTAAACTTCACGTCTCATTTGTCACTTGTTGTACATTATTTCTTTTATGCCAGGTTCAAATGGGCCTCAGCTGTTCACAATCGAGCAGTGGGGGACACCGGATAAGTTGCCAAGAGCCCATACATGGTGAGAACACACACACACACACACACATAGTGGTTTACCTGTCTTGTCAATATCACATATGGCTGTAATGCAATTCCGTTAAAACCACCACTGAAACTTCTTTGCTTCAGTTTCAACCGTTTGGATCTGCCAACCTACGAGTCCTTCGACGACCTGAGAGAGAAGCTCCTCATGGCGGTGGAAAACGCACAGGGCTTCGAGGGAGTCGACTAAAGCAGAGAGAACACTACCGACCTTTACTAAAGAAAAGGAAAATCACACCAGACATGACAAAAACCTACAGGGATGTCAAACCGGCTGATGCAGAAGTTCTGTGCGAATATGTCGTACCGTAATGCCTGTCTGTGAGTCGTCAACATACCACAGCACGGCCGTTTGAAAACTGTACAGCAACTCTCCGAAGCCGATATTCCGACGTCTTCATATCTTTTCAGTGTGGGTCGCTCCCTCCTTAAGGGGGGTGATAAAAAAACGAGACTGGTGCAGCATCAAACGCCATAATCAGTTTCGGATGAGCATGAGTGATAAATGATAAGGCGTGACCTCTGACCTGCTGTACACCCCACCCCATCCCCCCGTCCTGTAGAGGTCTACAGTGCTGGAAAACACTAATGCATTTCAACAGCTCCATATTGTACACAGTATTCGAACCCTCACCTTTCGGTGAGAGGGTCTCAGCATGGCCTTAATCCGGCTCCTACCTGCACTACTTCTCTAAACTGGATAAGAAACTACAGTGGCACTATGATCACAACACTCTCAAATCCTTAGACCAACACCGGATAACCTTAGGAATGCTAGCCAATCACATTTCAGGAAAAATCGGCCACATGCCCCTGCGTAGCGCCTTGGTTCAGTTGTGTGATCAGAAAATGACGGCCTTTTTTTGTAGAACATGGTCATTTTTTTTTTTTTTTTACCAACTGATAAAAAAGGATTAAAGCTGGGGGGGGCGTATGTAACCCCTGCCCCCCCCAGGATGATTTTATAGTTTTCACCACTATATATCATTTTTAATCATTAGTATAAATCTTGCTGAAAAAAACTACTCTTAATGTATTTGTACTGAGAAAACAACCTTGTTTACTATTTTGACAAGTTCTCCATGATATGTGAAAGTGTAAATCTGGCTTTTCTGGGAACGACTTACGCGTTTCATTTGTTACCGTGATAGCAAATGTGGTAAATACAATGGTTTATTTTTTATTATTATTATTGTAGTGCTATGAAAACAGCATGAAATTGTAACCTGTGTTTGCTATGGAGTCATTTGAACGTGTAACTGGTCTCGGGAGTCAGGGGTCGGGGGGGCGGGGAGGGTAATCCAAAAGTTTTGGGGCGTAGTTTCTATGAGACATGATTCTATTAACATATGATTGTTGCTGTTCATAACCCTGTAAATGGTTCCTGGAGAGAGAGAAAGGAAAAAAAAAAAGAAAACGCTCTAAGTTCTTTTACCATATATAAATATATGTATGTACTACATTTAACAGAAGTATTACCGATCGACGGCGTTGGAGCGGCGCTGCGTCCATGCGGGTGTCTGAGAGAAAAGCTGTGATTATCAGTGGATATAAAGCAGCACGGTTGTTAGACAGAAAACGTTTCCTGTTTCTGTTTCTACCAGTTTTCTAACACCATTGATCCTGAAGGGCACTTTATAGATCACTCGGAGGTCGTGTCGCCTGTTCGTCGTCTCTTTCGTTAACTTGAATGTGATTTTTATTTTTTAATTCAATTTAGTGCACAAATGTGGTGCAATATAGAGAGAGTCTGGGCTGCTGCTAAATTGTTGGACATGAATGAGGCGGAGATGTCACATCCTTTACTATTTCATATTTTAACTTTTCACCTTTTTCCACCCCGTTTTCTTGTTTTGTATTTTCTTCATCCAGTGAAATCCAACATTATTTGACTGACAACTTTAGTTTTATCATTTTAATTTAGAAGATTTTTTTTTCAACCAATGATTTCTTAAAAAAATGCATTCTGTGGTTTATTTCCTTCAGTCAAATAAAAATGAAATTTCTCAATCCGTGGTTTGACTTCATTCATCCTACACTTTTGATGTTCATATAAAGAAGTTCATATAAAATAAAACATCAACAGAAAATTGATTGAAGGCTTACTGTAACAGTACAGTTCTTGTTCAACATTCCACTATATCTGGATGGCGATAGCGTTGGAAAACAGGAAATGACAAAAGGCAACATTTCCATGAAAAAAAAATGCACCTGAGAAGCTGTTTAACCAAATATTGTTTAAACATAAACATTAAACATTTATCTTAGAACTTTCCTTTGTACTCTTGTTCCGACATGTTTACGAAAACATTTTTATTAGTAATGAAGTTGAACTGATTTCACAACAGCTTCATGGTTGTACTGTTGGAAGCAGACATTTGATTGAATTTACACTAAACCATTCTGTGGTTTTGTCTTTCTCTCTCTCCCTCTCTCTGTCTCTCCCTCTTTCCACGTACTCTGGTGAAGGAACCTCCGTTCATTCACACAGGCAATCTAGGAGATATCAGCCCCAAGGACGAGTAAATAAAAGCCGCGCTGCCAGACCCAGAACATTTTATCAACACCTCCTGCTCTCCATCTGGTCACAAACAAGCTCGCAACCAACACGTCTCCACATCCACCTGCCTGAGCTGAAAAAGTCCCAGAGTGCTGCATGGTTTAGAACTTTTAAAAACTGAACTGACCATTTATAGAAGACCAAAACGGTGGACGGAGTGAAAACTGAGCAGTGTAACATTAACCAACCACCGGCTAAAGTGAAACTTTTTGTTTTTTTTTCCTTGTGCAATAGGTCACTTATTTCCAACGACTGGGTCGGGGACCCACAGATGGGTCAAAAAGATAGTTTAGATTCTGTGAATTTTTCCCCTTTTTTCTGCACCTTGGTTTATTCATTAACAGTGAAGTCGGTAGTGATTTCCTTCACAAACAACAAATAAAACAACTCCTTTTTTTCATTTTTTTTCATTTTCCATTTGATCAGGACACTGCCAAGTCATAATGTTTTCAGGTCAAAATCAGAACCACTGGATGGCAGTAATACAACACAAAGGTTAAGGAGCTGTTGTTCAATTAAAAGCCAAACAGTGAGATGGAGGTGTTATCACAGGCAAACTAAGGCCCGGGGGCCGAATGTGGGCCGTTCCACTTTTGAATCCGGCCCGCCAAACGTTTCCATATTATATAATTTATTTATATTATCATTATACTTCTGCCTTTTCTCTGCAATAGCCAGGTTTCCCCAATAGATGGCGTAGAAAATGATAAAAGCATTTTAGCCTTTATGCATGACTTTTACATGTCATTTATCTGAGTTTACACAAGGGCTCCATCTATCTACTCCTAACCCGGGGCCCGTGTTCGAATTTTAGGACAATGGTGGCCCGCGAGTCAAAAAGTTAGCCCACGCCTGTGTTAGCACGATTCATCAATAGTTAATTAACTATCTGTAGTTGTAGTTTTTTTTTTTTACAGGGAAAACACACCTTGGTGTCGTAGTTAAACAACAAGCAAGTACTATTTAACGTGATATTCTGGCACGTGTAGTGACAAAGTTTTTGGGGAATCATTGGACATTTGCCTTTGTCAGGTTGATGACAATAACGAAATATTGGAAAGAACGACTGAGGTGTTTTGTCTCTCGGCTCCTTCTATGGTTTTATTGTAAACTGTGCCCCCAGTGCTGACTTCTGACTCTTAAACTCCACCGAGCTCCATATTTATACGCAGCTGCTCTTTCAGTTCGGTCAGAGCTGTTGTCTCCAGCTCACAGTGGATTTCAGGTAAACCTGTTGCCTCACCAGTTTTTCTGTCTCTGCCTCCCCTGCCCCTGCCCCTGCCCTTCCATCCCCACCTCTGGTCAGGGTCGATCGATACTTCCCCTGTAGCTTATCACTAATGTGGAACTGGCTGTTTGTCCAATCGGTGCTCTGTCTACATATAGACATGGACGGGACGGCACCAAACTCAAAAGCACCAGGATTCACCTCATGGACCGGCAGCAGCTAATGGACTACGGGGGCTTTTGTGTTTGAGACTTGGAGGCAAAAAAAAACCTGCTGGTGCAAAGAGACGACGGAAACTTTGTGAAGAGTGAGAGAGAAGCATTTAAAAAAAAATAAAATGGAAATGTCCCTAAACTAAATGGTAAGTTTTTCTCTACACATACAGAGTAACATTTTGATCTGTTTTAAATGTGATTTTTTCCCCCCTAAAATTGTGACTTATAGATCCATCAGCTATGGTAGAATAAAAAGGTTTAAAATCCTTCGAACAAGTGACAAAACTTGACCATATCTGTCATTAAATATTATATGATTTTTTTAAAACCCTTTCTGTGTAAAATATTAGCGTGTATATTAAACAAGATATGAAATTTTACACACAGACACACCTCGTGGCTTCTCAGCCATGTTAACACAGCTGTGGTCATCCCCACATTCTGAAAAAAAAAAAAAAAAGACCTGCCTATGAAGACTAAGTATTGCAGTTTTCAGCTGTACTTTGTCACATAAACACATAAAAACCTCAACTTAGTCTGAGTTTAGGCTAACTTGAGCTTTTCACAGCATCCGTTTCTTAACAAACAACACTTTTGTTTTTCCTCAAACAGGTGGTCGAAGCTTCGGTCGTGGTGACGCCAGCGACCGCACGGCTACAGCGAACCTCGTCTTCTGGAACTGTGGAGTGTGACAATGGTGTTTGTGTCCTGTTTATCAAACGCCATTATCACACTAAATAGCTCCAGTGTGAAAAGGTCCTCGGTGGAATCCCTGTTTGTTTTGTTTCTCCACATGTGCATACGAAGAGCGTAACGTGGGACGTGTATCGCTGACGGATGGACACAGGAATGGTGCGCTGATACACAGTGCATGGTCTTGGACCTGTTACAGTGACCTACTTTCCGCAGCTTTTCAGGCGCTAATGTGTTGCTGGTTGCTTTTATTTTGAGTGTACGTACCAATAGGAATAGACGGCTCGTGTTTTACATTTCGTGCCAACGTTCACAATTTTAGACGTCAGTAAAGTCTTGACATGTATACTGCATAAGAATGTATACTGTATGTAAAAATAAAATTCATGTTACCGCTGTTTACCGCAGTATGCTTCCACAGTGTAGCGGTTTTCACACCTGCCTTATATGCAAAAGGTCCTGAGTTCAAGCCCCAGAGGAACCAGGTACCTAATGGCACCTTGGTTGTTTTTTTCTTTGTTTTTTTCAGGTTCCATAGTGTAGCGGTTAGCACGCCTCCCTCGGAAGCAGAAGGTCCTGGGTTTGATTCCCAGAGAAACCACATACAACACGTACCACCTGTTGCAGTAGATCTGCTGTTAACACAAGAATTTCACAAATATGGGATCAATAAAGATTAATTTTCTTTATTTTTTCTTTATATTTTGGCAATAGAAATTTTGCTTTTTTAGTTGCATAGAATCCTCCCAGTGGCGCTTTGGCCCAGAGGCAATGTCTCTGTCATTGGTGTGGAACCCCAGGGTTCACCTCCTGGGCAAGTTCGAATCCCGGTTAGGGCGGTTGGTACCTTCCAGTGGACTCACCACCTGCAGGAAGGTTTGGGGGGGGTTGGTACGGTGCAGTGTGATTTGGGTGGCGACTGCTGCCCCCACGACCCGGTAACGGATAAGTGGATGAAAATGGATGGATGGATGGATGGATGAATGGAGAATCCTCCCATAGCCCCCCCTTCTGTTAGTTTCATGAACTCTATATAATTTGCCGCCATTTTCATCTTTAGGCTAATTGTGGCATCACAGCAAATGAAATAAATGAACAAGATTGAAAACACTTTCAACACGTCTTTAATAACAAGGATCTTCTGTCGTTCTACAAAGTGGTTCTCGCCTCTGCCTGGGAGCCGTGTACACTGGGTTATTACCCTGCAGGCTGTTGACTTTGTCTGCATGCGCTGTTGCTGCGTAATGTTTATTTTTAAGTGAATTATTTGACATCGTGACACAGCACACCACTGCACACACAACGAAATGTGACTTTCTGCTTTTAACCCATCACCAAGCGCCTGAGGAGCAGTGTGTGGGGGCGGTGTCATGCTCAGAGCACCTCAGTGGTAGGACTGGTGGACTGGAACCTGAAGCCTTCCAGACCCAAGTCCACTTCCTTAACCACTAAGCTACCACTGCCCCTTGTCAAATGTCAAATGTTTTGTTTACCTACCTCCGTGGTGAACTTCTTAATTTAAAAAAAAAAAAGCCAAAATGAACGAAATGTCAAAATAATAATTCATTATTTAGTTCAACACAAGCTTTTATATACAAAATATATTTTACATTATACACATTTTACATGACAAGTCGAACATTGACATCAAATCTAATCAAATATTATAATTATTTCACCTGGTAATATATGTTTATATTTTTCTCACATTTGTCAGCACAACAACAATAATCACTCATACCGTACCACAACTCCAACTAACACACTGTATGTTCTTTTTCATTACTGTATATATGTTCCTCAAAGGCATTTCCTCAAAGCAATTAATTTAAAAACGTTCATTAATTTAATGAACGGATATTTAGAAAACATCAAGTGAAGTAAAAAAAAAGGTAAATCATCCCACGTCATCAATAAAGCATTCTAAGACATCGTATTTCATCACAAAAGACGAAAATAAGTTTCCGACCATGTTCAAGTCTTTGTAGAATTTGTCACATTTTCACTAAACATTTTTATGATTTCTCTCACAGCACACAAACTGTCTTTGGCTCAATACAGAGTCATAAATAAACGTCCTCATCGTCTGCGTATGGTTCTAGTTCTTATAAAAATCAAAGCAGCAAACTAGGAAAAACAGGCCTTAAGATAAATGAATAAAACAAAACAAATCCTTAGTCTTTGTTATGACTTGCTCTTTAAAGTTGACCCAAAGGTTTTCTTCTTGGGTGCAGCAGGAGGTTGGGGTTTAGATTTAGGAGCAGATAAGGGTTTTCTGGGTTTAGGCTGAAGGGAATCAAGGCCTAGGATCTCACAGAACATGTTGCACTGATGTAAGGCTTTAAACTGGTCGATGAAGGAGGTGGAGCAGTTTCCCTTGAAACCCTTATATCTGCAAAAACAAAAAAACAAAAAAATAATAATGAACAAAAAAATCCATAAAAATTCAAGGTTTGATAATCCACATATTTCTTACTCACCCTTTCCTACAAGTTGCTATTCCAACATCAGTAAGCTTCATTCCGACTCCTGAAAACAAGAATATTATTTTAATTGCATTATATTTGCAATAAATACACAGCATTTACTTGTTTTTATATATAAAGACAGTGGTTCTCAAACTGTGGTTGCGTACCACCAGTGGTACACAAGCACTCTCTAGTGGTAGCGCTGAAAAATCACATTTTTACATTTACATTTTCCATTGAATAAGTCTGAAACATACTATGCACAATTATTACAACATTTAAACATAAACATCTTTATAAACATTTCTAAACATCTCTCCTGTGGTGGAAGCTAACAGTGAAGGCCTCTGCTGCTGTATTCTAATGTTGGTCATCATGGTGGTACTCAGAGAGATCAGGGTTTTCTCAGGTGGTACAGAGTAGAAAAAGTCTGAGAACCACTGTATTAAGACATTTTATCCTGTCTCAGACCTTGCATGTCTGTCACCAGTAGGTTCCCCTCAGTGTGATGATAGACCCAGTGCTGAAAAGCACAGCATTTCTGTCCGGCCACCGAGTCCCGCCTTAGCTGGTTGATCTCTTTGCCGTCCTTGACCGAATATTTCACAAAGTTGCCAATCAGCTCCTCTTCCAGAGTAGCATAGGGGATATCATTGGATGGACGGTGTACCAGGTAGATGGGAATGATCCTAATGGCAGCAAATGTCAATAACATGTCAACCAAAACACATTGAAGGTACTTAGAGCAGGGAGTTTGGTTGTGTGCTTTATTTGACATTTCTTACTCTGGAACTTCTCCAAAGGTTTCCGTAGACTGAGCTGCAGCAGTGTACGCTCTGATGTATTCTCTTGCTGTGTTTTGAACTTGGCACTCCTGGAGAACAAAAACAAAAATCAATCAAAGATCAATGCAATATGATAATATTTATTGTGTTTATATCGCAATACTCTAAAGAAAGTATTTTATATGGTCCTCATTATCGGTTTTAACAATACAAACTGCCTCTCTACTAAATTTTGAATATTATTTGTTGATAAGCCATTGTATCAAAAATCATCATCTACCTCTTACCACTGTGAGAACTGCTGGATATTTAATATTAGCTTTTGATGCTATGCAGATGACACCAAGCACTATATATATAAAAAAAACCCTAAGCTCTACCACTAACTTTTATTTTAATTTGATTAAGTTCTTATGGCTAAACAACCACAGTTTTTTTGCCGAAACTTTTTATCATCCACTTTTATCAACTATAAGTTAAAAGTGAAAAATAAGCTCGATATAACACAGGAAAACTAAAAAGATAGGTTAAATACACAAAAAACACAAAGATCCAACAAAGGTAGTGAGTAACGTACCTCCACAGCCAAGGTAAAGTTCTTCTGAATGAGTTCCTCATTGTTCTTGGTCCCGTAGCTAATAGCGTTGTGAACTTTGAGAACACAACAGTGTCCTGACACTAAAAAAGGCGTTTGACCAGTGTTCATCTTGGTCCTGAAAGCCCTCCGATGCATTCCTTCCCCAAAGTGGACCTTTTCAGTGATGATACTGACTGGCTGGTTGTCTCCAAAGTACTGGTCAGAGAGGAAATCCTCTTTAAACAGGAGCCTGGAGCAGAGAACGTCCTCTTCTTCACTGACCACTTCCACTGGAACAGCTGAAAATAACACACAATTCTGAGATCTTCTCTCTTTTGAGTTAAATGAAACCTGCTGGCACATTTGTAGTTCTTGAGAATCTTACTCACATGCGGTGATCTGTGGCGACGGAGGAATGATTATTTCGCTGAGAACTGCAGAGAAAGGCAAGTAGCCGAATAAAGTACCTCAAAATACATTTGATCATCTATTTTTATTTTGTTGCTTCTGTGGATTTTTTTTTTTTACCTTCGTATGTTAGCAGGTAATCCAGGGTGACCGACCCATGTAGGCTGCTGAGCTGACACTGGTACTTGCCCAGATCTTTGTGAGAAGCGTTTACGATGTTGAATGAGACTCTGCTCTCATCCCCTGCACTTCACAGAAAGAAACAGTGTCACAAAATAAATTCACACTAGTGTTCGCACTAGAAACTCAGACAACAACTAAACTCTTTGGATAACATGACCTGGACGAATGAGAATCTTCACAGAGATATGAAACATCTGAATCCTATATAATGTGTATATAATCAGTTTATAATACATTTTGTGAAAACAAAATCCGACTGTAATTGAAGTTTAGGTACTTTGAGTCAAAAAGAAGGTGCTCAACGATTTGGGCGTATGTGAGGTGAGATGAAAAGGTAATACCTTCTCTTGACTTCATTGAGGAGAGTGTTGTCTCTGCTCCAGGTGACGGTGTAGTCACAGAAAACGGCCGCAAACTGACACCACAAGCACAGACTCTGGGGGTCTCCGCTCACTGACACTGCCTGAATGGGCTGCACCACCTTAGGTTCTGCAAACATCGTTGTAATCTATTATAATGAGGTAGGACACGGGGCATGTGTCATTAAAGTCAATCAATAGAATACTTGTTAACTGGAGTGCCTTTTACCTTCCTTGGCTGTTAGATTCTTCTTGACGGCTTCACTGTAAGCCTTTTTACTTGTCGACACGACATCAGCCTTGGGCTCATCTTTCTTCCCCTTATTATCCACATCTGGCTTTGGAAGTTTAGACTCCAAAATATTAAGGATCTTCCCAAACTTATCCTCAGAAAGGCGGCGTTTCTTAATGATGTCTTCCTTCATAGGACTAGGGCTGGACACCTGGAACTTTTTTGGCTGGTGGTCCTTATTCTCTGCTTGACACAGATGTGGTTCTTCCTGGGAAGCATTGATTTCTTTTACTTGTAACGTTTTATCAGCAGCATCTGGCTGGCTGCTGTTCCTTTGAACCTTCACAGCTTTAGCACCCAGTTTAGCCTCAAACATGTCAATCTTTCCTTTGGCTGTCTTTGGTTTTGCACCATAGTCTTCGTCCGCTGGTGGCTCCTCCACAGTCTTTTGGGCCGTTGTGTTCTGTCCGTGTTTCTTTTTCTTTTTGCCGTGATGCTTGCCTGGAGTCTTTTCCGCTGTCATGCTTGTATCAATCACCAGCTTTGTTTTTAGGTCCTCAAATTCAGCTGAAGTGTCAGTGATAAAATTCTCCCCAGCAGGAGGAGAAACTTCTTTCTGCTTAACTGAAATTTGATGAGAAACATTCTCCCGTGTCTTGGATATCGGTGCTCCATGATGATGACCTGCTGATTTGTCCTTCTTGCAGCGTGACTTTCCGTCCAAATGGTGCTTGTGACTCTTGTGAGGCATCTCTTCAACAATTACAGACTTTATAGGCCTCTGGACAAACGGGTCTTCCACGCCTAAAGTAAGGATTGCAACACGGCTCTCTTCCGAGATTAAGAAGTTATCTGCAGCACCAACCTCGAAGTTTGTGACTTCTCTGCCGAGATAATAATACTCTTCGATAATTGATTTTCTTTTTTCGGTTAAGGTGGACTTACTATTCTCACCTAAAAACAAGTCAACGTTTTCTTCATGTTGCACGGCAGATTCTGTGGTATCTCTGATTTTATGATTGAGCTCACTGTAATGTTCCAAGGATAGTTTGCCAGGAACACCATCTGAGGTCGGCCAGAGATCACAAGGTCGTACGTGATCACAGCTTGTGCCTCTGTTGTCATTGAGAGATCTTCTAGCACAAATTTGATCTTCTTCCAAACTGCTGGCGGTCCGGTATACAAGAGAAGAGCTGCTAGTCAGGGGAGCTAAGGGCATAATAAACTTTGTACTCCCCCTCTCTGGCTCCACCTGGCAAGTTCTGTCAAGGTCTGGAAAAGTGTCAAGAGACACGTGTGTGGGAGCAGTACAACTCAGGACAGGTTGCCTGTCCTCACCTGGTACATGTGAGTGGGTCGGAGTGAGTGTGTTGAAGAAGAGAAGGTCTGCTTCTTCACCATCAGTCTTGATTAATTCACAGCTCTTTTTAGCCTCCTGCTTGTCCACGGAACCCGGACTGTGTTGATCTGTCACTTTATACAATCCACCTGGAAATGTCTGGTAAAGAAAAGGGATCATAACAAAAAAAATATTTTTAAAAAGATATTTTTGAGGCAAAAATACTTATGCCTTCAACAAAGTAATAATTCACAGAGTAAAAATATTTTTAAAAAGATATTTTTGAGCAAAAATACTTATGCCTTCAACAGGTTGTTAAAGTAATAATTCACAGAGTGTAAGAAACAGTAAAAGGAATATTTCAACAAACTGCAGACATATAATAGTAGACAATAAAAATCATTAATATGGCAGTTATGTTTAAAACATAAAAAAATAAATTGTTAATATGGCAGTTATGTTTAAAACATAGTAAAAAAATAAATCATGTATTTTTAAAGGATTTCCCACAGGTTTGCGCAACACGTACCTTTTTACGGGGTCACAAAGTAGACAGTTAAGAAACACCATGCTTCTCTATCCAATCCCGCAATTCATACTATATATCCAACATGCAACTCAACCTCGCGATGGCTTCGCTTTGATCGAGAGCTTCAGCTTTATCTTGTGTTCCAGTGTCTATCAAACATCTTGTCCACTGACCATGTAGACCGCTCAGGACCCCGCTACAGGGCTTTTAAAGGGGTTGCAGTGGAAATAGGTGTGTTACAAAAGAGGGAGTGGGGACTGGGAGGGCAGCAAGTGTGGGTCGTGTTTCAGTCCTCAGCTGTGGCGTTCTCTCACCCCACCACCACTGACACGCCACAGATGCTTGCTATTATCATGGAACTCTCATCTATAATTAGGTGCCATTTCTGTCCATCTGAAGTTCTGCTCTCGTGCACTCCTGTTTCCTTGGGCTCACACAGCTGCCAGACTTTGAGATGGGAGCCAAAGGACTGATCTGATAATACAGAATCATGTTCAAGCAGAAGTCCTTGAGTACAACCTGAGTATCTCCAATTCAAAGTGAGGCAACAATGCACGTGAGTCTCATGTGTGGTCGCTGACCCACAGGGGTTTGTGATCTCAAAGGTATTCCACAGACCTCCTGACTGGCTGTAGGTATGAAAACAGTGACAAGGACAGTAGGTGGGAAGAACTCAAAATCCAGGACGTTTAGTGGTTGGCCTTCAATAATGGCAACAGAGGCAACTCAAAATCCAGGACGTTTAGTGGTTATGGCAACAGAGGTATTTTCCACTGATCTTCCTGTCTATCTACCACATCAGACTAAGTGTTGACCGTAGCCTGCAGGCTCAGGAAGATTTCAACGAAACACGACCTTCTAGTTAGTCACTTATAATCATTTATTCTTTGTCGCACCGTGATGCAAATGGTAAACTTAACTTGTT